ACCCACGCAATAGGGGGGAATGAACGGGTCATGCTATACCTTGCAAGCAACCGACAACCTCAGTCGGCATCGTTGCAAAAAGCTTCAGCGTGTCCGTTTCCGAGACTGAAAGCTCAATAAGAGTTTTCCATGACCCCCGACCACTCAATTAAGCAATGCGCAAAAAGGAAATCTTATATCAAAGATAATTTCATCAAGTTGGAAATTCATTACAAATTATAAGAAGAACTATAATCACTCATAGCTTCTATTTTTTACATATACAATTTTGTGTATATGATTCAAGCGTAATCGTACATGCGCTCCTCATCGTTTTATAAGAATTTTTCCAAACACTCGGAAGTTGACGCTTCTGAAAACTTCTAAAGACAAACATGTAATTTCAACCCTGTTTTTTCTGTAGCACCGCTCCTCGCTGGGAACTCGCGTAGCGATGACCTCCATCGTGGATTCCGAGGCCCAATTCAATTTGAGGCTTGAGCAAGTTCGTGTTCCTCAAACCCTCCAAGTTGCTTTGAAGAACTCTGGGGTTACAACAATATCCTCTTTAGCATACGCTCATGGGCAGCCAGGGCAACCAATTGTGGCCGATGAATTTGCAGCCTGGGTCAGACAGATAGAGCCAGGAGCCACAATAGGTGCCGTGTCATCCCTCAAGCGTTTGTTGTTTGAAAGTCAAACCCAGTTGCTCGCTATGCTCAAAGAACAAATCACAAAGCCGGAACCAACGGTGGCTCGAAAAGTGCCCCAGGCAGAGCGTGAAGCTCGACTGGCTAACCTGAGGAACAGACTTGTTGGTGTCCTCGTCGAAGGTCATGCAGAACCATGCCATGCTCTCCTTGATGCAGCGACACAGTTGTATGATCAGAACATCTTGCGCTACATCCCTTTGGAAAAATGCTTCAGTCGCCTGACCGAGCTGGCTGCATCTAGTAAGACGCAAACCAAGTTGCTTGAAGTTGAAGCCTCGAAAGTTGTAGTGAAAGACAAGGATGCTGAGATCGAAGCTAGTGTCCAGTCTTCGTATCAGCTGTTGGAAGCCCTGAAACGTCGTGGGTTGGCTTTGGACTTTGCAGGGGTAATGACATTTACCCGACATGATAAATATGTGCAGCTGTTGTTTTCACACCTCAACAGAGACCCGCCGACGGGGTACAACAGGTGCAGTGTGTCTCAGCTCATTGCTGCTGATCGAGCTGCTTGGTGCTCACTCATTGAAAGGAATGTGAAGCCGAGACCCGACCTTGCAGGTGTCCTCGCCTTAGACACCGAGTTGGAAGAGTCTTTGAAAACTTATGAAGTGAGTTTCGCACTCCTACCGCTGATGTCCAAATCGCAGCCGAAAGCATCGCCTTCCCCAAATGATGCAGCTGGTGGTAACAAAGGCCATCCCCAGCCCTCTCCCTCCAAGGGAGGAAAGAAGGGCCAATCCAGATACCGCCCTTATCCGTCCAAGGGCAAGGGAAAAACCAAATCCAAGTTTGAGCAAAGAATTCCGAAAGAGATTCGGGATGCTGGAGGTACGGCCACCACTCCTGATGGAGCACCGATCTGTTTCGATTTCGCCTTCAAGAGATGCCGTGAGACTGTTGCTGAAGGTTCCCGCTGCAAGAAAGAGTACCACCTGTGTTGCATTTGCTATGGACCTCACTCCATGGCCGACCATAAGAAGCATTGACTACAATCGAAGCAGAGCCCTCTCAAACGCAAATTTTCCGAATGTACAGCCTTTTTCCCGAATGCACAACGACTCATTTGCCTAGGAAATCTAATAAGACTGTTCCACAGGAGAAACCTGTTAACCCAATTCAATCATCTCTGAATATGCACCAGACCTCCGTTGGTGGAATTCCTACACAAGCAGACAGTAGCGTGCCCAAAGATCCTTTCATTATTGAACTTTGTGCAGGGTCAGCCCGGGTTACCTCATGTCTGCAGCACCTTGGCATGCCATCCTCATTTGGAGTCGATCACGTAAAACAACAAAACTCCGGCCGGGTTTTGATTGCTGACATGACCACTAAGGCTGGGAAAGAGCTATGCTGGACTTGGTTGAAATCACCAAGCTGCGCCGGGGTGTTCATCGCACCCCCATGCGGAACATGTAGCAGAGCTAGAGGCATACCCATCAGGCTGCCTAATGGGTTGGTAATAGCAGGGCCACAGCCGTTGCGCACTGATGAGCAACCGAATGGAGTCGCTGGACTTAGCTACGTGAACAAACTGCGTGTTTCCCAAGCCAATGCTGCTATCTACCATTTTGTGACCGAAATTGCACTCTTTTGCCTTGACCGTGGCATGCTCGTTTGCATTGAAAACCCCAGGTCCTCCATTTATTGGCGCACCACCTTCTTGCCCCGCTTGCCAACAAGCTCACATTTACTGCCCATCAAGCGTGTGCTTACGGGTCAAACAGGCCAAAATGGACCGTGTTGGCCCATAATACCCAGGAGTTGCTCCAACTAAATCGAGCCTGTCCTGGCGTAAGCAACAACCATGTGCACAAGCCTTGGGGCGTAGTAAAAGGCCCAGAGGGCCAAAAGTTTTCTACTGCTGAAGAAACGGCCTACCCGTTGCCGTTAGCTTACCACATTGCTTACTACATAGCCCAGGAATTGATATCAAAAGGTTGGAAACCACCTTCCGACGCCTTTTCACCACCGGATGAAATTTCATATCAGTACCTAAGGTCCATTGTTGGGGTCCAACCAAAATCGAGCAAAATTGCCCCCTAGTTTCGGAATTCCAACATGTGATTGCCATCCATGTCCCAGGGATTCCACTGTCCCGATCCTTCCAGGTGAAAAGCTGCATGACGCCTGGTGTGGAGTGCCATCGGGTTCCTGCCTCTTAAAACGCCCACCATTACGGCTAAATGGGGGTAGTGGGGTAAATAACAATAATGACATGAGTAATAATGTCCAACCCGATAGTCCCTGTGGCATTAGTCCCCTAAACAATGTCCTGCATTTTGGTGTCTACAGGTCAAGTGCTCAGTTCGTAACCGCAGCTGCAAATGCAGGACATCCTGCAGGAGGTGAATCCACATTGCCGAACGCCCTCAGTGAAGCCATCAACTTTGTTGCATGCCATTCGGTTCATGAAGTAGCCCAGCACAGGCTGTCCACCTTGAAGTATTGGCTAGATCGTGGCAAAGCCCTAACTGAAGCCGAAAAGGATTTGCACAACTCTTTGCACCCTTCAATAAAGGACATCCTGGCCCCTAAAAGGCTACTCCTTTGGAAAGAGATGCTTGCTTTTTATCACTATCCAGACATTGCAGTATTTGACGAAGTTGTTTCAGGGGTGTGCCTCTCCGGACCGGCGCCAACGGTCCCCTTCTTCGAACCCAGTTTCAAGCCTGCAAGGATTACGGAAAGTGAGTTAGCGTTGTCAGCTCGTGCGTCACGAGTGGCACTCTTGGCATCAGTGAGATCCTCTGGTGACGCAGAAATCGACAGCGAAGTTTACAACAAGACAATGGACGAAGTTGCTTGTGGGTGGCTGGAAGGACCATTGGACCTGAGCTCGCTGGGTGATGACGCGGTGGTTAGCCGGAGGTTTGGCATCCGTCAGGCATCTGGTGAAGTGACAAAAATCCGCTTGATTGATGATTTCACTGCCTCAAACGTAAACCAGACAGTGCAGGTTGACAATGCACCGAAGCTGCATACGCTTGACATTGTGGCAGCGCTCTGCATGGAGTTGTTGAGGTTGCCGTGTGACGATGCTTGGGTTGGTAAGACCATTGACCTTTCCTCAGCCTACAGGCAGCTAGGAATCTCGCCGACGTCGAGGTGGGTCTCTTACATAGCCGTCTATGACCCGGCGTCAAAATGTGCAAAGATAATTTCCATGAGGGCGCTGCCGTTCGGAGCCAGTAGATCGGTTTATGCATTCTTGAGGGTAGCCCACTCCCTTTGGTGGCTGGGTTGCACAGCCATGAAGTTTCTCTGGAGTAGCTTTTTCGATGACTTCATAACCTTGTCACGAAAGAGCGAAGCTTCTGCCATGTCGACTGCCACATCGCAATTTTTCCGTCTCCTGGGTTGGATGGTATCAGCTGGCGAAAAAGACCTGCCCTTCTCTGAAACTTTCAAAGCCTTGGGGGTGGAGATAGATTGCTCTGCCTGGAGCACCGGCCTCGTAAAGCTTAGGAACACCGCTAAACGCATCTCTGAGCTCAGTGAAACAATAGCCTCAACGTTGAAACGTGGCCGCCTCAGTTCCCAAGAGGCCCTAGTTCTCAGGGGCCGCATGCAGTTCGCCAGAGCTCAGATTTGGGGTCGAGCGCCGAAGCTGTGTTTGGCGGCAATTACGGCACACGCTTATGGTGAGAATGATGGAAGCCTCTCCAACCATACAAAGGCATGTTTGACTGCTTTCTTAGGTAGCCTGGTTGCTGCCAGGCCCCGAGAGATAACAGCCCAATGGGACCTACCGTCATTGCTTTTCACAGACGCCAGCTTCAACCCTGACGATACGCAGTGGCCGTGTGGCCTTGGTGGAGTCTTGTGTGATTCGACGGGAAAGCAGTTGGCGGCCTTATCAATATCCTTAACTTTGGATGATTTGCGTTCACTAGGATACCCCCAAAAATCCACGGTGATCTTTGAAGCCGAGCTACTGGCCCTCGTCCTGTGTGTGAGGCTGTGGCGCAAAATAATCCAAAATCGCCCATGCGTCATGTATGTTGATAATAACGGTACCAGAGATGTTGCTATAAACGGTAGTGCTAGAACTTTTCCAGGTTCCTCACTAGCTCCTGGCACAAGAGGATGCAGCTTGTGTCACTGCGTGGTATGCTAGGGTCCCTTCCCAGAGTAACATTGCTGATCCTCCCTCTAGGAACTCGTCTGATGGCATAGATGTGAGTTTTGTGAATGTTAGCCTGGTGAGGCTTCACCTCGACAAACTGTTGAGGGATGTCATTAACAACGGTCAAAGTGGGTGAGTGTGTTGCTTGGTCTCAAAGGTCTGATGTGGTGTCTCCGCATTGCATGGCCAACACCGGCCTTTGTGACGAGTGGAGAAGCGGTTGTGTGCCGCTGGTGACGATTGGCCTGGTGGCCTTGTCAAAGTTTTTGCAGAGATGGAGAAACCAAATGTGTGAATGTCCACGAGGGCAGACCGAACAGCGAGACCTTGAGATTTCCCCACGCTTCGTGAAAAATGGCCGCAATGACCTCACCTTCAGATCTGAAGCCATTCATGTTTTTCAGTGATGTGCAGTTGGTTCTTGTGATGTTTTTGTTTGTTTGTTTCGTTTGGTTTTCTTTGGGTAACCTGGAAGTACGACTTCTTCACTTGGCGTCAAAGCGTAGAGTTTAAGCAAGCGGTCAGGTACTGATAGCGCCTTAAACTCTTAAGCGTGCAAAAATTTATGCAACAATTTTTGAGCCAAGTGCCTTGCCGTGAAAAACCAAACTACAACCTTATGTCTTTCGTGTCATCGCGTATGCGGGTTTAACAGGTACGCCACCTGTATGTTTGTTAACTTACTCTCTGATGTCTCTCCCGCGTTGTGCTGTTTGTGTACGCATGCCGTCGTACCACAACGATGTTTATGCACGCACCTTTTGGATGAATCCTTTATGTTACAGAAACTAATACCCGGTATGTTGCGGAACTGTTTTTGTTTCAGTGTATGAATGCCATGCAAACATGTCAGTGCTGTTTTTCTTTCCACTGCAGTGAATCTTGAAACAATCTGGAGCATTCATGTTTGTCACAGATGTCATGTGATGTTTTTTCCAAGTAACCGTTTTGTTTCAAGTGGACTTTTTTGTCCCGCCCAAGGTTTGCACCTTTTCCCGCCCAAAAGCCATTTTCCAGTTCGATCCCTTCACTGCTGCATATTCCGATGTCACCGGACGATATTGTGCGGTTCACCGCGGCCATCTCGATCTGTATGGCCTTTTTAGAGCCAGCACACCCCAGTGAAACAATGGCTCAGAACCTCCAGGAAGAGCGCATCTGCAATTTCGACAAGATGATTACGGCCTGCCGCAACATTTTGCAGGTTTGCGGCCATACAAAATATTTGTCCTCGATCTACGAGTTATGGCACCAAGCAAGTCAGTCGCTGTATTTACTGGAGCGAATGATGTGGCCGGAGCAGCCACCAGAGACTGCTTTGCACTTGATCCTCCCAGCGGAACATCGCCCTTTGACTGACCTGATGCTGGACTCCTTCGACGAGCACCATGATAGCATCTTCCAGGCGATCCCCGCGCTCGAGGCCTTCCATTCCTGGTTTACCCAGGCATATGATACAACCTTGCACAATGACTTCAATGTGGTCATCCTTGATGCAAAGCTCTTGCTGCGCAGCGCGGAGGCACTCATTCGTATGAAGGTGCGATTTCGAACATTACAGCCTACTGGATCATCGGCCGGCCCCATTGACCTTGATGGCGAAGCTCCCACTGCTGCGCCAGCTGCAACTCCGTCGCCTGACCCGCAGCCTGCGGCCTCGAGCACCAGTCGCACTACACTGGAATGGTACTGAGTGTGTTGCTTGGTCTCAAAGGTCTGATGTGGTGTCTCCGCATTGCATGGCCAACACCGGCCTTTGTGACGAGTGGAGAAGCGGTTGTGTGCCGCTGGTGACGATTGGCCTGGTGGCCTTGTCAAAGTTTTTGCAGAGATGGAGAAACCAAATGTGTGAATGTCCACGAGGGCAGACCGAACAGCGAGACCTTGAGATTTCCCCACGCTTCGTGAAAAATGGCCGCAATGACCTCACCTTCAGATCTGAAGCCATTCATGTTTTTCAGTGATGTGCAGTTGGTTCTTGTGATGTTTTTGTTTGTTTGTTTCGTTTGGTTTTCTTTGGGTAACCTGGAAGTACGACTTCTTCACTTGGCGTCAAAGCGTAGAGTTTAAACGTCCTAGGCACGCTATGCGCAGTCACCATGGCGCTACTCACCAATCGGCTTGACCTGTGTATCCAAGGGTTATTTGGGGCAGGCAAATCCAAGTCAATGGCCGTCCTCATCCTAGCCCTTCTGGAACTTGATGTAACAGACAGCCTAAAAATCTTGTTCATATGCAAAGAAAACTCTGGCACCCGCTCCTTCGCTGACCTGCTCCTATGGCTCGACCCCCCGTCGGGGGTGCTTGGGCGCATAGGCAGGCTAGTCGGAGACCAAGAGCGCAACAAAAGCAGCTATTCCCACACCAAATTTGATATCAACCCGAGGGAAAGAAGGCAGATGTTAAACAGGTGCCAACTGGTTATGGCCACGGGAGGAACGATAGCCCAAGACCTCACCATGCAATGGTCAACACTTGGTGGGTTCATGCAAGACCTCTCCCTCCTGGTGATCGATGAAGGCCAGCAATATGGTACAGACCGAGAAATTGCGGTAATTAGCCGGCTCAAACAGCAACCCCTTGTCCTGTGGACTGGGGACTCACCGCCCAGGCAGCACCCAATGCCAAAAGATCTCGCCAGCTCCTGTTGGCCAAAAAACACGGATTACGCAGCGACAGGAATTATTTTATGCCATCCAACCTAGCAGAAGCAATGATCAGGCTCCTTGACCACTCCTCCAATGAAGGACTTGCCATTCTGAGCCAAGTTCTATGCAAAGGCGAACATGCCCTAGGCAACCTATGGACTGACCAACTGTCACAACAAGCCGCTCAGGACCTCCGAAAGGTAAATACGGCCCTCCCAGGCCTAGACGCACAGTTTCGAGCTGCCCAGCCGAATGAGCAAACCCAACTCCCCACAATAGTGGACCCCCAGCTTCTAGAAGGCACAACAGTAAATTTTCCACGGTCCCTTGTCCGTCTTGCCTGGATACTACAACATGCAGTCACCCTCCTACCCATGGCAGGTGACATTCAAGCTGTACTGAACTCCCAGACAGCAGGAGTCAGTGATATCCATGCGTGGGGACTTATGCTGCCATCTAGCTCTAGAGTGAGCCCCATCACATACCATTCAGTTGTTGCGGTCAGATACCCGGACCTCTGCCGATGCATCAACAGTGCCTGGGAATTGGGAAGCTTCGCTTCAGGCGGAATCCCTAGCAAACCCCCAGGATTCCAATTCGTACTATGGGACACCAATGCCAAAATCAACGGTTTGGTCGCGGTACCCCCGAACGCAGGCTTCGCCAATGGGGTTTTCATAATGACCACAGCCACCGACCACAAGAACAACCTCAATAGCTCCGCCCTAAAGAAGAACTATGCCCGCACACTGCGAGTTGAAACCATTGCTAACTCAGCAGGAGGCACGGCAGAAGTAGCAATAGTAGCCCAGCCAAGTACAGGATTCCTCAACACAAGGTTCTACCCAGATGGCTCACCCACGGAAGACACCGAAGACTGCTTAGGCCGCATCACGGTTGGACTCACACGATCGAAATCCTTGACTCTGCTGGTCTCCCCACTCGACATGATGGGACTCATCGGCATGGCTTAGGTGGTTGCAACGATTGCCTATGGCATCCAAGGCCTCAGAAGAGGAGAAACCACCTGGGATTGGCCTAAGTTCAATGCCAATCCGGAACAAGAAAACCTTGAACAAATGAGAAGATGGTCTTTAAATACAACGCCTTCATGGTCGTATCCCCCCCTGGCAATCGCCAACAAATATCATGACCACCAAACCAACCAGCCAAAAAGCGTACGATATCGATTCATTTTAGTACGAGCGTCTGACCTCGACTGGCTGAAAGGAGATCGACTCAAGGACCTACAAGCACAAGCAAGGGCCGGCCATAAGTGGACCCCGGCACAGCAACTTCCATACGATGAAACCATTTTATATGCATACGCCGCCGACCGCACGAACCGACCTACATACGTGTGCCTGCCATCTGGATTGTACAACGCACGCGCCGGGCGTGTCTTGGCACAAGCCGGCCCTGAACAAGAAATCACACCGCTACCGGGCATTTACTTCTTTGATGGGTGGCGAGTACATCCAATATTGGCCATCCCCGCCAACCTACCAAGCACAAAAGAGGCACCAGTATGTGAGGTTGAAGCCCCCGCACACAGCACTGCAAGCACAGAACCACTCCGGTCGCCGGAGGAAGAGGCGCGTGACATCCTCGCTACCGCTGCTAAGAACCAAACCGAAGACGGACCCAGCACTCGTAGGGCAGCCATCCGTGCATGTAAGTATTTGAGAGCCATGGTCAACCAACATGGCCCCCTCATCCAGTCAGCACATGAAGCCGCCAAGATCCACACGCAACGCAGCAAAGGCAGCGCAGCAACAGCCATGCAATATCGCCCGAAGGAAGGGGAGCTCCCAGTAATAGCACCAGAGCTGACATCTGAGTTACTGCATTGCCTATCCACGCTGCCTGATCCATGGCCCCTGGCCAAAATCACTATCGACATGGAAAAGCCTAGCCAGTGGGTCTCCAAAATGTGCCGGCTCTTTTTTGCAGATGAATACGCCAGACGCACGGTAGGAGTGCCCACAACAGCACAGGTACCAGACTTGGAGCCAGCATTCAAGGCTACCCAGAACATTCTCCCCAAGCTGGAGGCAAGAATTATTGAATTCCTCTCCGAGTGGCTAGTGACCTTTCTAATGCCAGCGAAGCATGTGTTGGACACCAGAGCACCCCACCTCTATTTCATGTTCCTTAAAGAATACTGGTTTAGAGAGTTATATCTGGGTCTTAAAGTTACGGCATCGTTTGACCGATCCGAGTCATACACACGAATTATAGATGGACAGGTCAGATGCATTACACCTGACTTCAAGCCCAAAGACTTACAGGTAGCATGGAACGTCCAGTTCATCACCGTATTTGTCCCCGCATGGATGATTCCTCCCATATATCACAGCCTGCGCAGGGAAAGCATTAAAAATACTAACTCCGCCAGCGCGATAGGGGTCAAGTCGGTTCGCCCCACCTGGTTTGAGGACATAGTAACCTTGAGGGAACCTGCATATCATGCCGGGCAGGAACAGCCTGAACCGATGCACGGCCTTAAGCTTGTCATCAAAGAGGAAGCATTGCCCCTTAAAGAGCAGCCGGAATTCCCAGCACTAGCAGAACTGGCCAAACGAGGTTTGCTCGCTCCGGATACATGGAGCTGCAAACGAGCGCAAATCAGCTTGAAAGCCACAATTGATGTACCAATGCTTGGCACAATCATTGAACAAAATGGCGATGGACTCCCCGAACAGTCACACATGCCAGTAGGCTGGCCACTGCATATTGACGGAGCTGTCCGACAAAGCTGCGCCCATCGAGGCACAACCTTACAGGAGCTTGACAATTTGCTTGGGGAATACGACCTGAAGAGAGACCTAGTCGAGATCAATTGCAAAGCACCCCAATGGTCTCACAACGCAGTGTGGAACAAACGATATATGGAACCCAGGCCAGGTTTCGCCTTACAACAACTGTGGGCGAACTCAGAGTCAGCTATCACACAGAAAACATCCCCCTCCTATGAGGTGAAGGACAATGACATCCGCCGGGCCGTCATGGCCATTACAGCCGTGCCAGCTGCCACATTGCCTGAGAGTGCATTCCTCTTGGCGCTAGGAACCCCAGCGGTCCGAACGGTCCCACCACAAACTGGATCACTAGCGCAACGAGCTATAGAAGAGTGGGAACGAAACCTGTGTGAGAACAAAGCAGTCGCAATCCTGGAGCAGATGCAGGCCGGAAAACCAGCCCTTATCAAAAAAGATGGAGGAGAAATGCTTATTGCCATCGTGCTTGATCGGCCACTCGTGGAGGCAAAAGCATTGGTGGAAGCTCCTGATGCCTTCATCCAAGCGATCACCAGGATCATGCAAGACAAACAGAATCACCCAGTTATTGCACAAATGATCAGGCCGGGGGTAAACGATGACCTACCACCCTCGGAGAGTGCAGCTAGCTCCTCCGGAGGCCGCAGCCACCGAGTCGCCGTAGCACACTCCCCTGCACAGCCACATACGCACTTCCAATAAGTGCCAGCGGACAACGTGAGGTCCTCACGGTTGCCACCCACCAAAACCGGCACCAGGGCTACACTGACCCACGCCATAGGTGTCACTGGTCAACATGATGTACTCATGGTTGGCCTGTACACCTGTGACCCAGCGAAGGTGGTGAGTAATTCTAAATCACTTTACTGGTATACTACACATGCACAAGGGTAGGAGTGAGAAGTAGTTTGGGATGGGGGGGGGACACGGGTTACTTAATTGACACTAGTAGTAACTAGTAGTCTCTAGCTTAGGATGATGTCAAAGCACATCAAGCCATGGAACCCGTTGCCGTTTGCCTGAACTTCAAACCAACATCCTGACCGGTCGTATACGACTTCCAAATGGACGTCTTTATCCACCCTTGCTCCAATGAGTAGACAACACCACCGTTGATGGATGGACTGTACAGCCGCTCTACGCCTGCAGAACACCCTGCGTGCAGTTTAGGCCTTTAGTATGGCCCGCCCGACTCCAATGAAAGATGCTGCAGTCAATCGCCTAGCAAAGTCAATTACTCAATTGACCCTGTGTCAAGTCACTAC